GGAATTGTCACTGCTGCTGACTTCTTCCTTTTCTGTTTGATTCATTCTTCAGGTACACATCTCAGGATCACCCTGATGTAACTGTTGAGATAGAAAAGAAATGAGCATGTTCACGTTTTCTGCGTCACACTACGTGTTCATTTGAACTGTGTATATTAACAGTTAGAAATATGTTAGTTAGTGTGTATGTGTCTGATATAATTCAGGTTTGGTATGCACCTAATTGGACTGATTTGGACAGTTAAATTTGTGGTTACTTAGCTGTAGTCTTAGCACAGCTAGTACTTGTTTTGGTTTAGCATTTTTCTGTTTAAAATTAAAAATCAGAAGTAGTTTAAACCTGCAATTAAGTTGAAATCAATGTGATGGCCACATCGAGTTCAATTTTAAGCTGAACGTGCGTCTTGAACAACTTCTTAATGCAGTAGTCGATATAAGCAGATTAGTTGTTAATGTCGAGGCATGCGTTTCCTTGAGTTCATTGTTTCAATGTAAGCATTGACAATTCTAAGTTAGTAGTTAATATTAGTAGTTCACTTGAATTAAGTATGCAATATCAATTTGATTGATTTGAATAGCTAAGAAGTTACTGGTAGGTAAATAAATAAGGTAATTAGGCTGTGATATTAAATCCAACGCTGATATGAAATCTGGGCTGTTTTGAGCTTGCAAATTGTTAGGCCCATTTGTTAATTTTTGGGGCTGAAATCAAATCGTGTGAGACCCCACGAATCTGTTGGTTATGTATTCTTCCTGGGCTAAGCTTGAGGCATAAAGGAAACTGATGAAGTTCGTATAAAATTCATGGACCCAAGAGGATAGTAGCTTTTGAACAATAATAATTAATTAGGGCTTCTTTTTTTATTATTAGAGACAAATAAAAAAATAGAAAATTATAGACTGCTTTAGGTTTGCCTTTAAATAATAAACGAGGTGAGCCCCGCCAAATAAAATGCAAAAATCGCAGGGCCCTCAATAAATGTTATATAAAATACTTAGAATTCGGGCGGACCGTTTAGCGAATTTCACGGTCTTCCTCAAAGATAATAAACGCGTAGTTGCTTTAGGCGTGTATTTTAATAATATTACTTTCCAAAATGTGGGTGCACATTTATGTGACCCAAATCCAAATCTCAACGAAGTTGAAATGTGTTGACAATTACGGGTGCACTGGTGCGACGTGGTTCGAAACGCATTTTCACGACGTTGCAATTCTTATTAAAAATAACAATAAAAACGGTTTACTACTAAAAGGGCATATAGGTTAGAATGTGTTTTAAAATCAGATAAAAGCAAATACAACAGTTGAGCGACCGTGCTAAAACCACGGAGTCCGGGAATGCCTAATACCTTCTCCCGGGTTAACAGAATTCCTTACTCGGAGTTCTGGTTCGCGGACTGTTAACAGAGTCATAATTTCCTCGGATCGGGATTCAAACGGTGACTTGGGACACCATTAATCTCCCAAGTGGCGACTCTGAATATTAATAATAAATTCCGTTCCGACTGTCCTTTAATTGGAAAAACTCCTTTGCGCCGTCACAGGTAGTAGTAAAAAAGGAGGTGTGACAACATAGGGTCCCCAAGTATTATTGTGTATAAGTTGGAAAGGGTGAGTAGACTGAATGGAGCTATCAGGGAAAGGTAATCTGGCTTGTATTCTAGAGGACTTACTGGGCAGGTGAAGGATTATATAGGGGAAAATTTTCAAGTAATAGCAGAATTAAGTCTCAATTTAGAAAAAAGAATGTGTCCAATTATATAATGCCACGCAATTTAATCTTTATTCAATTTAGAAGAAACTTCAATGGTATTTACAATTGTACTATCTGCATTAACATCAACAGAAACTGCATGAACAAAAGAAGAAGTGGAAAAACAAGAACTAAAGAAAATAGAACTAGTAGAAGGTGGAAAATTGTCTTGTTGAAACAACTTGTAGAGTCCATTGTCCAATCTAACAAGAACCGCTGGCTTCTTCAGTGAAGGGCCTTGTAGAGTACAAGCATTCTTGGTAAATTGAAAAACATCATCACAATGAGACAACAACTTGTAGACTGAGATAAGATTGTGTTGAAAACTAGGAATATAAAGAACATTGTGGAGAATTAGGTCAGGAAATAGGGCTAAAGAACCAACATTATATCCATTTGGTAAGGAAACAAGATAAGGGACAGGTAACGTTTGAATGTCAAAGAGCAGACTTTTAACAGAGGTCATATGGTCTGTAGCTCCAGAATCAATTATCTAGACAATGCCATTTACTTTAGACAACATACAAGCCCCATAGGAAACCCCTTTATAAGGTAAGAGCTTACCAGTATAATTGGCAGAACCTATGAGTTCCTGAGATATAGCACAGTTGAAAGCAGAGTTTTGTGAGTGTTGAAGCAGCAGCATCAGCTGAGAATATTGTTCTTGTGAGTCCTGGGATATGACTGATCACCAGACATAGCACAAACGTCAATACCATGAGCATGTGAATTATTAGGTTTAGTAGTCTCAACATGAGCAACAGTTCTGTGAGGAGGAGGAGGTCCTTTGTTGAACTTGAAGTTGGGAGTAAAACTATGTAGTTTATAACACTTTTCTATAGTGTGCCCAGATTTCTTGCAATACTTGCAAGTGACAATAGGTCTAGGAGTTTCAAAGAAAACCTTAGAAGGAAAATGTGGTTTGGATGTGTCAGCATTGAATGAAGCAGGAGTAGTTGAAAAATGAGATGTAGAAGAGACTTGTCTCTGCTTTTCATCAGACAAAAGGATGTTATATGTGTTTCCAATAGAAGGGAGAGGCTTCATCATTAATATTTCGCTCCTAATTTGCATATAAGTACAAACCCTCACTCAATAAGATGCTATCTCATCCCACAATTGCTTAATTTTGTTAAAATAAGATGCTATGTCTAAGAAACCCTGGAAAATGTGAGCTAATTCCTTTTTAAGTTCAAATACCCTAGCACCAACTGCCTTTCCATATCTCTCTTCCAATTCTGACCCTATATCTTTAGCATATTCAGAATACTTTATACTACGAGATATTTTCTTAGACAAAGAATTTGTCAACCAGGAGACAACCAAATCATTACGACATTGTCTGACAAGAGGATAACCATCTAGAGGTATCACAAAATTTCCATTGATAAAATTAAGTTTGTTCCTAATCGACAAGGCAACTAGGACATTCTTTCTCAACTACCATAACCACTTCCATCAAAAGGAGTAGAAACAAGAGAAGTTCCTAACATATCTGATGGATAAACATACAGAGGATAGCAAGGGTGAGTACAGTCATCCTTGTGAAATATAGTGCGAGAAACATGAGGCTCACGATAGATATTAGAAAGTACATGAGTAGGTATAGGAGTAGAAGGTACATAAGTCTCGTTTGACATTTTTAAAGCAAGTGAATGAAAATCAACAGAAAACAATAGGCATGCAAGCAGATTTGTGAGAATGAACAAGATTACTCCCCTCTTTTGCAAGCGAAAAGAGAACAACCTTCAAAATTGACCACATATTTACCAACCGAAGCTCCAAGGAAACCCAGCTGGACGGAAAACCCCTAATTTGAGAATAATCCACGAAATCCTCCAAAATTAGTGTTTTGCTTCTCAGAACCAAACCACAAATAGCCTCAGTAGATATAAATCAGAAGAAACACTCTGAATTTGGAAGAAACCCTAAAAAATCGCAGATGCAAAAATCACTATCGCGATTGGAAAATGTCGACTAAAATCATCAAGGGTAGGATCGATCGAAAGCAGGGAGAGAGATTCACCAGAATCTACGCTCTGATACCATGTAAACATGTAGAAATCATGTGAAATCGGAAGAATGAAATTTAGGGTTCATGTTTGGCTTGAGAGGAAACTTCGAGATACTTTCTATATCAGAAGAGAAAATATAAAATGTTCTATACAATTGAAGATTGGGCCCAAATATATTTATATGATCCGGAACTTAATACTCTATAATACTCTAAACTGGGCTACCCGGATAAAGTATAACATATGGCCCAATATAATGGGTCTAACATTAGCCTATTCCCACCGGGCCTATTCTAACATACAAAGAGAAATAAACTTTAGCTTTCGATATACATAGCACTAAATTCTTACGTAGCAAAGGTGAATTTAAGAATTTCAAGTCTAAGTTTGTAGTAAACTGCACTTCTCTGACAGAATGTGTGTATAATTTACTGCAAGTCTGCAAACATATAATGCCTTAATAGCTAGGACCCCGTTGGACATTATTAGTCGGCTTGCACGTTCTATAATAATTAAAGTATGACAAAGACACTTTTATATTTGATTTGCAGATCCAGCTACGTGTTAATGCCTAATAATGCATTTTGTACTGTACTTCTTTTCTGAAAAAGATTACTACTATATGTTACCATAATTCTCAACTAAAACCAAATTAATAGGACAAAACGATAGTGGCTCAATTATGGAGATTAAGGAAGACTGATCAGCACCTTGCCATGCATCTTCCAACCAAAATGGAAGACAGAAATGAATATGTCAAACAAATATAGCTGGGATATTACATCAATAAAAGGTCAAACCACACATTCCAACTTTATTTAACCCTCATATATTTGATTGTCCTTACGTATATAATTGGCATATGACTCGTGATATTCTACGCTATTACATTGGTTTTTGATATAATAAATCGGGTAGTATTGAGGTCTCAATTGAACAACAATAAAAAAAAGATTATTAAAATTCAAATTTAGAAACCTTATGATTATATTATACGCTCTCAATAATGTTCCCTTCAATGAAAAGCAAGCATCAACACCCACGCCTTTGACGCCATTCCTTTTAGTTTATTTTATTTTCTTCAAGAAACTTTTCCTTTTATTTAAATTTTCCACTCCATGTTCTTTTCATTTCTTTTGGCTCTTTCGTAGGCATAATATTTAATCATAATTTAGCCTCGCTTATCGCTCAATGCAAAAGAAAAAGAGACAAACAAATTGATGAAAAGATGTCGTAATAAATTACTAATCCATTCTAAGTGTATAATTTCCACCAACAGCAGTAGTTACTAATAATAATAGTATATTATACAATCATGTCTAAACCTACCTAACAAATGAATCTCCCCCTCTAACTCCTAATCCCAATCTTAATTCTAACTAAAACAAGTAAACAGTAAAAAATGATTCTGAAAAGGAAAATTAAATAACCCCTCCAAATATATTCTGTGTTTAAACTTGTGGCTGGAGCTACCTCTCTTTTCTCCAATAAGAAAGTGTGTAGGTGTTGTCCCTCTGTATTTGCCACGTAAGTCTTTTCGAGGTGACTCAGCGCCACGTCACGTAGGCCACGCAAGTGGGTCCCCACGTGATAACACCCCCAAATACCGACAAAACAAGATGGGCCTCCGCCTAATATTGGGTTGTCAGCAGAAAGTCAGAGCAAAAAGTTAGAAGAGGTGACGCAATTGCCAGATGCCAGTCAAGAAGGCGATGGAACCGGCCATGGCCGGTGACCTAAGCACGTGCATGCACGTGGTTGAAGATGCACTGCTGACATCCCATGCACCATCGTACACCATAGAGCCGTTTATCGTAGATGGTACATTGTTGTTGCTTTGGTTATTATCTTCAGGTTCTTCATTTTGATTTTGCCCACCGGTCGATGATGACTTTTGGCTGCAATATAATTTAGAAAAACGTAATTAGCAGTAATTCAGATTCATGTAAATTGAAGTCCGTCATATAAATTTCTAACTTTTATAGATAATCATATAAGATCATTTAGAATGAAGCTCTAGGTCATGTCAGGCCTGCATATAATCTTCTCCATATCTTACTCATAGAATTATACCGAATTTATTATTTATAGAACTACACCAAATTTGTTGGTATATATTGTAGTTTAGAATGAAGCTCGTTACATCAACACTCACTCAACAACAATAATTATTACGCAATTACTAAGTCAAAATTCTAAAGGACCGTCAGAATTTTTTGTCATTTAGTAATGTGAATATTTAGTTACTGAAAATAGAACAGGATTCACAGAAAACTACTTCGTCCGTTCACTTTTACTTCTTAATTATATTAAAAATATATTTTTTATTTTTATTTATTTACTATACTAAAAGAGAAAGACAATATTTTTTTCTTACTTTACTTTTATCTTTAACTACACTATCATTTCTCACGACTTTTAAAAATACTATTATTATTATACGCAACAAATATAATTTTGTTAAGAGAGTACAACTAAAAGTGAACGGATTGGATAACGCTAATTGGCTACATTTGTATTTTGCGTGGGCTAGTAGTCTACTTGAATAAGAGGACAAAATTAAGAGCCTTGGGTTCAGAGAAGAGCTCTAAACCGTTGAGATTGATATTTTCCCATTCCCGAAGCTGACTTAGTTATATTCAAAGTACTAAAATACCCCTATCGACCACCACATACCCCTGCCAATGTCATACAGATATGTCAAGATTTTCCGTCTTTTCATCGATAGTAACGTCCTAACGTTCTATTTGACATGCCTCATTCCCAATCCCAATTTGTTCCCTCACTCCAAAAAGTAAAACTACCAACCATGAATTTTATTAAAATAAATTTGAAATTTATTTTCAAAATTCATGTTCGGCCATAAATTTTGTCCATATTTCGGTAAAATCCTAAATCTCAAACCCCAAATCTCAAAATCACCCCAACTGCTAATTTTGGACCAAAATTCCAAAACTTATTATATACATGTTTCCAAAATAAAATTGAAAAATATATTTTAAAAACGTATATCCACCCACATTTTCATATTCAAACCAAACCTCACCCAAATCAGATTTTTCAAAACAAATTTGGGATCTATGGCCGAACGCTAGCTAAATTACATCCCAAAATTATTACTCCTAGTTTAACATTAAAGAAATAGCATATCTTTTTCTTTTTACCAATTTACGTAATCTACCTAATTTGTTCACATTATCAATTCCAAACTTAGATAAAGAAAAAAAATTACAAAACACTAACCTACCGCGCAAAACTTGTCAATTTTTAAAGGTTCTTTAAAATATATAATAATAATGAGCTAAAATGAAATAACATACTTTCATAGACCTCAATTTGCCTGAAGTTGTTATTGCATAGTACTAGATAATTACTGACATTTAAAAAAAAAACCATTTTTTCATTTTAAGTTTAGAAAATAATTATACAAAAGGAGGAATAAGTAAATTTACCTGGTGTTAGGAGATGGACAGAAGGTGATGAGATAATTAGCGCCGGTACAAGTGAAAGTACTCGTCTTATCATCGTAAGCAAAACTGTATGCACTCGGACAAGCTTTCTTAAACAACATCGAATACGACGACGGTTTACAGATGCTGGGACTATTATACGCGCCGGCGCAACAGTATTCATCTTGCCGGAAAGCTTCACACGCGCTCTTACACGCGACGTTCTCGCCTCCCACGCTCGTCACTTTCAGCTCAGACGGACACGCGCCGTTCAAATCCACCACGCATCCTGTGCTTGTACAGTTGTTACCCGAACCACCTTGTGGTACCACAAGCATTGGTAAGTTGTACCCATCGACGAGACTCACGTCGAAGAAATCCATCCCGCCGGAGCCGTCGAGGGTGAATTCCGCTAGTGTAGCCGGAGGAGCAGCGTTACCGCCGTTGCATTCTAGCTTACCGGAGCCACAATCGCCGGTGGCGCAGGTGAATTTTCCGGTGGAATCTTCTGTACAGTGTGTACGAGCCCAAAATCGACCACCCCAGGAAGAGGGTACATTAATAGTCTTCGATTCACCTTTTTGTAGAACAAAACCAGTGGTTGAAAGTGGAGCAATTCCAGCGTTGGATAATAATCCAGGCCATATTGTTTGCTGGCATTTGTTTACCATTGTAAATGTTGCAGATGACTGTACACCTAACCAAAAAAAAAATAAGAGAAAAAAAAAATCAAATCTTTAAGCATTATTTAATAAAAATTGAAAGCTCTTTTACATAAAAATCAAAACTTTTAAGCATAAAATTCAATGTTATTTTCCTCTTTTGGTGTAACTCTTTGTTTCTGAATTTTAGCTTCTTTTATGAAGTGATGTGTAAGAGTTAAAAACAGAGCGAACAGAGAGAGAGAGAGTTTCACTTGTATTTCCTACTACCCAAAAACCAAAAATGAAAGCTTTTAATCAGAGATTTTATGCATAAAAATCAATCATATTTAATCTTTTAGTGTCTTATCTTTGTTTCGGAGTTTATTACCTGTGATAAAGAGATGTGTAACCGTTAAAAACAGAGCAAAGAAACAGAGTAGTTTCAGTTGCGCCATTGGAGGTTTAATTCGAAGAAGGTGGGAATATTAAGGGAGCTGGAAAATCAAAATCCCAAGCCGCCTTCTTCTTCTTCTTCTTCCTCTCAAAAAATGAGAAATGTGAGGAGGTGGGGGGTTTCTGGTAAGAAGAAGATGCAGAAACATTTATAGGAAAACGAGGAGGAAGTGTAACGTTAAAGAAGAGGTGGGGCCAGGGGCGGATTTAGGCCGAACCTTCGCCAAAAATTTACACTATATATATATAAGATAAAATTTATTTTTGCCTCTATATATTAAATTTTAAATCCCCTTAACACAATTTGCTTAGTGATCAAGGGGGTTTAAAATCTTCTTAAGGTCATAGATTTAATTCCCACTAATTATAATTTTTTTTTTAAACCCCTTCGTGAAGATATTGGCTCCGCCACTGGTGAGGCCCAGTGAAGAAGCTCTAGTAAAAGCCGGCGGGTATTTTTACTTTATTTTTAGATCAGCAATTCAATGCAGTTGCACTAGTGAGAAATAACATGAGTAGCAGTAAAGTTTTTATGAAGGCAGTAGGTAAGTATCTAACCTAAGATATAGTCCAAATTGCAATCTTACTTTTTGGTATTAAATGCTTTTAATTCTTTTTTACCTTTTTATTTTTGCTGTTTTGACATCTTACTCCCTCCGGTCCATCATAAACGATCAATTTATTTTTTTATTTTGATCCAAAATAAATATTTATTTATACAATCAAAAAAAAATTCAATTTATTTTCTCAAAATTATCCTTATGTACGTATCCCTAAAAAGTCATTTACTCCTCATTTGAGAAGAGAAGTAAGTGCTACTATAACTATGCTGCAACATTTAATGAAGGGTAGTTTAGTCACACTAACTATTTTCGTCTGGAATTTAGTACTTCCTTAATGGTGTGCCAAGGGGCAGATCCAGTGTGTTAGATACGGATTCCCGTGAACCCAATAACTTTTGTCCATATCCTGTATTTGTATTGAAAATTTCATTAAATATATAAGAATATTTAGCTTGGAACCCAATTCGTTAATCCAGTTATTATTTTATATTAACTTAAGATTTGTCTAAAAACCCATAAACTTAAAATTCTGGATCCGCCTCTGAGTGTGCCCAAAGCAAATTGGTCAATTATTGTGGCTCGGAGAAAGTATATACAGAAATAGAAAATACACGTTCTCTTCTTTAACTGTTTTAGTTGTTTTATGTCTTCATGTTCAACATCTTTTTTTTCTTGAGCTTCGGAACAACGATCAAGTTAATATAGTTCAGTGCACGATATTTTTGTACACGGAACTACGTACCCTTTTGCATTTCGTACAAATCCCTAAGTTTATCCAAGGTTGAGAGAATGGGTGATATTTATTTTTATATATGATCTCGAGGAATTAATCACAGTATTTAACTAATTTTGTGGTTGAGTTATGTCAAAGGTCAATTTTCTAACAATTTATATCTCACTTCACTTAAAATAAATATATTAAAAATAGATATAGTTTACACGCTCATCCAATAATTAGTAAAAATGATTCTATCTTTATCTTAAAGTATTGGACTATCTAATTTCAAAAGACGAATACGATTAATAGTACTATGATGACAATCTTGAGAGAGCAAGCTATAGAAAGAAATGGAAACAAAAACCTTAACTTACATCCATAATTTAGGCTTTCCTTTTTTCTTTTTGGGTTTTACGCTAATTTTTGAAGTTACTACGTACAGACAAAGTTATCTCAGATCTTCATTTTCGCAGTACTCTTACTCTATCATAAAGAAAGACAGCGGGTTTCTTCAAAAAATTGCAATTTTCTCTTTAAAGGCGTGGGCGTAAGGCGAGTCGTTTTACATATGCCTCAGTGAGGCGTAAGCCCCGCGTCACGACGCGTAAGCCCCATAGTTATTTAATTTTTAATATTTTATAAAATATATAAAAGAATAAAATTTTCTACATGAAAGAACAAAAATGATGACTGACCTGTAATTTGAACTTTGAACTTGCTGCTATGAAGAAGAATGGAATTATCTTTGTATTTGTAAAAAAAAAAATTGAATATGCGTTGCTTTTGGGAGATACTAGCAGACTAGCAGAAAAGATAAAGAATTGGGAAAGACCATGAATTAGGGCTTCAATCAATAAAAAAGGTCTAGACTTTTAAATTTAATCATTTCAGTTCCATTTTAATACATTTGAGTAATTACCAAACTGACTTTTAAGAATTTGGGTATTATATGAAGGTCTTATTTAACAAATTTTATTTTAATTTCAAAAAGTTCTATGGGGCTTACGTTTCACTAAAAAAAAACCGCGCCTCAAACTCCCGGGCATGCGTCCCGAACGCCGGGCATGCACCCCAATTATTGGGCGTACTCCTTTTGAGACTTTCGTCCTATACCATCGTCTCGGGACATTTTTGGTGCGCCTCGCTCCAGAACTTGCCCCGAAAACGCCTTTTAAAACGCTGCTCAAAACCTGAAAATATCTGTTAATAAAAAAAAAGAAGAAAGAAAAAAGAGAGCAAGAAACCAAAAATAAAATATTGGACTCATCTAATTGTAGCGTCACGAGCAGTATTTTTTGCGGTTGTAGGGGTTGTCACGTACACACAAGTCATGATAACATTGATAAGATAAATTAGAGGCATATATATATATATATATATATATATGCATGCCTTGTGCCTTTTTTCACAACGAAAATAACATTCACGTAGATCTTTAGTGCAAATTAAACTTTTCTTGGTCACAAACAAAAGGAAAAGAAATCCGATTCTTCCAAAAGGAAAACACAAAAAGATAAAAAAGACGACTGGGAAAAGGAAAGAAAAATCTTGAGAGGCAGCTAAATGGAGGCTGGAACTAAAAAATATCTTGGGAGTTGGGATAAAAAAGTGAATACAAATATCAAGACATTAGTCACTATAGCGTAATGGATTTGGCCTTTTGTCACTTCATTTTCAACTATAACAATTGCATGCAGGATATTTAATAGGGTCCATCTTGTTTTAATGCTTCTGTTAATATTCAAAACATGTTTTTTTTTTTTGGGATTTTTACCTTCCTATACCATATATGAAACCTTATTATCCTCAATATTTAAGGTTTTAATTAATTACATTTCAGCATACCAAATTATCATTTTTATACCATAATTCAAATTAGGGATATAATTAAGGGTTCATTTATATTAGGCATAATTATAGGACTGTATCTTCCCACTTTCTCTTTCCTTTCATTTCAACTGTTCACAACACACATAAAACTCACGATGCTCCTATGCTTCCTCTCGTTGATCATCCCCAACTGCCCACCGCCTCTCAATTGTTATTAAGAATCAAAGAATATCATATTTTCAGATTCACAAGAAAATATTAAATTCTTTGATCGAACCGCTTGAATTCCCACTGAAAATAATAATGGCAGAGAGTTAGAAATTTCAAACACAGATAGAAATCAAGCAACAAATGGCGGCGGCGAGATTCTCACTTTTTGATATCTGAATTTCTTTCGAGCTATGACATTTTGTATGGAGATCACTTCATGAATTGCCTATTCTTGAAACCCTATTTTTTTGGGGGATTTTTACATTCCTATGCCACATAGGAAACCTTTTGTAGTATAAATTGTAGTTTAATTGTAGTATAAATATAGTAATTTTGTAGATACTCTTAAAAACAATACAGCTTTATACAATACTTAAACTGATTTGTAGTTTATTTGTAATTTTTTTGAAGAAATTTTGTAGGTCAAGAGAAAATTTTGTAGTCAACATTTTTTTTCAACATAGATCGTAGTTTAATTGTAGTATAAATGTAGTAATTTTGTAGATACCCTTAAAAACAATGCAGCTTTATACAATACTTAAACTGATTTGTAGTTTATTTGTAATTTTTTTGAAGAAATTTTGTAGGTCAAGAGAAAATTTTGTAGTCAACATTTTTTTTCAACATAGATCGTAGTTTAATTGTAGTATAAATGTAGTAATTTTGTAGATACCCTTAAAAACAATGCAGCTTTATACAATACTAAAACTGATTTGTAGTTTATTTGTAGTTTTTTTTGTAGATGAATATAAGATTTTGTAGTCAACATTTTTTTTCAACATAGATCGTAGTTTAATTGTAGTATAAATGTAGTACTTTTGTAGATACCCTTAAAAACAATACAGCTTTATACAATACTAAAACTCATTTGTAGTTATTTGTAGATAAATGTAGGAATTTTGTAGATATTAACATAAAATTAGACTTCCTCTTCTCCATTCTTTCTTCTTCTCAAAAAATACAGAGATGAGACCCATTTTTTATGATCAGATTTTTCCCATTCAATTGTAGCATGATTAGGATTTTGGACACGATTGAGTGTTGTTGCTGAGGTATTGTTCTATATTTTATTGTTTTTTTGATTTGTGTATTGAGAAAAAAAGATGAAGAACAGATTTGATTTCAGTTTGTTGAAGCTTTTAGTTTTTTTTTTTTTTAATTACGAAAAAAATTCCAATGGCTTTGCCTACTAATCAAATCTGATCTGGAGAAACTTACGCAGATGAGAAATCTCCTTTCCCTTTTTAAAAATTAAATTTAATGTAAAATCAATTAACACCAAGATTCTCTCCTTAATTTTAGCGCGTTTTTTAGGGAATATTCTGCCCTTTTAATGCCTAATAGTCGAATGGTATATAAATTGTAGTAAAAGTGTGGACTGGGCGGGTAATTAACAAACTATGCACATTTAGGGTAATAAGGTTTCATATATGGTATAGTTAGGAAAAAATCCCTTTTTTTTTTAAAGAGTTACGCTTTTAATCACTTGGCACAGCAACCCAACTAAAAATGGCCCAGGTTTGAAGGCTTTACCCGGTTTGGCCCAGATTGTATATATCTTGAAAGAAACTTTTCAGTCTTTAGCCCATTATTAAAGACATACTTCTAGGATTTTTTTCTTTTTTTCTTTCCCAGCGTACTCAATCTCTCTTCACTCGCCTCTCTCTTCCTTCTCCCTAAAATTACAGATTTTTTTTGTACACACTCGTGATAATCCTCGCATGTTATGTCAATTAGATTTCGATTTTTGAGTTAATTGACAAAAAGAGGTTAAGGAACCAGAATAAAATTTGGCATATCAGTCCAAAACTATCAGAT